GCTAATGGAACTCGTGAACATCAGTTTCCATGACTCTGAGACCAAAAGATGGTGCCTGGCTACTACTACCAACCGATCTGAAAAATATCACATTCAAAAGTCCTGGATAGAGTGGGAGACGACGTGGAATAAAACCCGAAAGTATACAAAAGAACCAGCTTACTAGTCAGAGACGGGAGGAACCTGAGCCCATGGCCCTTGACCACCCTTCAGGTCAGGAACCGAACTCACCCTTGTGGTTCAATTTTCAGTCAAGTAATAGGTAGACATAAAGGGTGGACAGCAACATTGGTGGAGTATTGTTGTTGTGAAGGGCCATCGAATCAGTTTCGACGCATAGAGACCCTGTGTAGGGTTTCTGAGGAGCAGCTGGTGAGTTTGGACTGACGACTTTGTGGGTCGCAGCCCAGTGCTGATACTACAGCACTATACCAGGAGTCCCTAGTGAGGTAAAGACACCATGAAATGGTCAATATTCAGAAGGGTTGGAAAAGAAGGTTGAATGGAAAAAGGAACCACAGGAGGAAATGGAATAACTAATGGAACATGGAGGGGATTGCAATCACTGAAATGAAACCAATGATGTGATCACACTATTTCCTTGGCTAAACCCCTCACACACTTCAAATAAAATCTAAGCTTCTCTATCATTTCTTGTAACATAGTCAGTGTCTAACCTTAAGAGTTTATCTTGGAGTTTTGTCCTCTATCACTTCTAGCTTCATGTGCCTTAGCCGTGTTTGCATTCTTTCAATTCTTTAAACACACTAATTCCTTTCTAACCTTAGGGCTTTGCACATGCCGTCTCCTCTGTGTGGCCTACTTCTCATTCCACTCTTCCCGAACCAACTCCTGTGTCTCCAGGGCTCATTTTAAATGCTACCTCCTTAAAGAGTATTCATGGTCACCCTAACCGGAGTGTCCCCTTTGTTGTTCTCCATCATGGGTCTGGTCAGATTAAATAATGACATTTACCCACAGTTATGATTACTATTTTACTTGTTTATTAGCTGTCTACCCTATCAGAAAAGCCAGCAGGACCTTCATTTGCTGATGGGGCACATCTCAAAATTAAGAGAAACAGCTGTAAACAACCA